CAAATATACTTTTTTTGCAATTTCTCCTCCAATTGGCGTGGAAATTCACGTGTTATTCGTTTATAGGTGTATCTGGCTGAGTACAAGCCCGAATCAGATCCGGAAAGAAACAGTACTTTGGCGTGCAAGGTGATAGATACCGGGATAGCACCAAAGGACTTTGTCCGAAAATTTCTTCCCCGAGAGCTCGACATTCTGGTCAAGTTGAACCATCCTCATGTGGTGCATGTGCACAGTATATTCCAAAGGCGTACGAAGTATTTCATATTCATGCGTTACGCCGAGCACGGCGACCTGCTGGAATTTATACTGAAGAACGGCGAGGTTGCGGAGGGACAGGCGCGCATATGGCTTCGGCAGCTTGCTCTCGGTACTGATTGGAAACTTCAAATCAGAGATCGCAACTCGAACCATTATACGAATCGAACCTAGTCTAAAAACGTATTAGAATTCCTATTTTAAGTTAAATAATTTTTGTTTGTAAATAATCAGTCTCTGCTAAGAATTTTACCTCTTTTTTTTTTTCCTTTTAGGTCTTCAATACTTGCACGAAATGGAGATCGCTCACAGGGATATGAAATGCGAGAACGTGCTACTAACGTCGAATCTCAACGTCAAGCTTGCCGATTTCGGTTTTGCTCGCTACGTGATAGACAATCGAGGTAAACACGTTTTGAGCGATACTTATTGCGGCTCACTGTCCTATGCTGCCCCGGAGATCCTTCGCGCTTCCCCGTACAATCCGAAAATCGCGGATGTTTGGTCTCTTGGTGTCATTCTGTACATCCTCTTGAACAAGTCGATGCCGTTCGACGACACGGATATCAAACGCCTGTACGAGCAACAAACGAATCGCAAGTGGAAGTTCCGCAGTAAGATTGCAGAGGTTTTAAGCGAGCAAGTAAAGAGGCTGGTGTCTCATCTTTTGGAGCCGGACGTCTCGAAACGTTGGAAGCTGGACCAGATCATAAACAGCGAATGGATCGCCATGGATCCTAGACTTCTGATGCTTACACCTGCTGAGCAAGCTGCTTTTAACAATGCGGTGCAGGAGAGGAAGAAAATCGAGGAAAAAGTCTTCATGAAAGATCCTGTGAATTATTTCTTTACTATATTTATGCATTCTCATGGTTTTACAAATGAAACGAAAACAATTAGAGAGACCTACCCTGTTTAAACATTAAAATGTTTGTTTTTTTCTTTTTTTTTTTTTTTAGAAACTGTTCAAAGTGGAGGAGAAGAAAAAGACAGACACGGCCAAAACGAAAGCTGAGGATGTCACCGTAATTAAGAAAGCTGCCAAAGTTCGTCCATTATTTTATTTCCTTTGTCCTTTTCTTTTGAAAAGATGTATAGAATTATTTCTGGTTCTCAGGTAACAATGTCTTCCGTTGCTACTGACACATTATTTAAACGCACTTAGCTAAGGAGTGTTTGAGAAATACACGTATTGAACATTAGCCCTCGTAGAGCTATGAAACGAATTATTTGGGACGATAGTACTGTTGGAAGAATTTCTCTTATACATCTTGAATAGTCTCGTACGCTTTTCAAAGGTTCTTTCTTTCCATTTTATTACACTTCTTCAAGTTTATTACACTTCTCAAAATTACACATCATTCATTGAAACATCCAAGTATTAACGAAATAACATTAAACATACTTTGTTTAAATTTCTCAATACCAACGATGCCAAAGCCCTGTATCTTTAGTTCCTTATGTATCGTGCTTTCATTAAAGTTGTATCATTTTTTGATGTGCATTTTACATAAAAATTATGCCCATCGGTGAACGTCTCTACTTTTTCTTTGAAAGGAATTCCGATAATATTTCGGGGGCTCGCTAATCCTTCAAGGTCCCACATACCATCTGACAGTAATAATAAAAGCTGATCGTTCGGAGATACGATCATTTCGAATACATCCGTGGCTGGCAAAACGTATTCTTGCAAATCGTCCCACGGCTGATACCGTAGAACCAAAGTCTGCGTGGTTAGTCGCAAAACGATCCACAAGGCATGCATTCTTGACTGCACGAACGCTTCCATTATTCTTGGAATGTATAACTCTGCAGATTTTAGTCGAAAGTGTTAAAACTGTACTCCGTCATTTGGATCTATTTATTTACAGACTGCGGATATTCATGCAGAAACATTTGAAAAAAAGTAAAGGTGAAAAGCAAAGTACAATAAAATACATTTTCACTTTATTGAACTTTCTTCGCCCGCGTCTCTAAAACTATAAATTCACACAAGTATCCGCAGTTCTCTTATTAACTATTAGAACTGTTAGAACTTTAATAAAGTAAAGAGGAATCAAATGAACTTGGACAAACCTTTTGAATCAACAAGATCGCTTGAACTCTTCATGCGATTAAATGAAAATATGGATACGGAATCAAATTTTACAAGTACAATGAACTCTTCTTCGTCCATCACAATTGATTTTAATAATATAAAATTGGTGTTGTTTGTTTGCTGCGTTAACTGTGTGGAGTTCAATGCAGAGCTATTGATACAACGAGAAGAAAAATTTGCAAATTTGTGTTGCACTGTCTGAATAACCGTAGATTCGTTTAAAGCATCAATAGTGTCCTTCATGACTTCAAACTTATTTATATAAACAGCTCTATCTATAACGATAAGATATTTAATAATAATTGAAGTTACTTATTGTTTCAGGCTGGTATGCCACCTTGTTAATTTCAAAAAATTGCCAAAAGCAAAGGTCACTATATTCTGTGGCATACCCTCCTAAAAGTTTGAAAAAGAACAGTAAGAGAAATACTTTGTAGAGCTGTTCTAATCTCTTCTGCCGCCTCCAAAGACCGCTCCATTTTTTCAGCAATGGGCAAAACATTCGAGTAGCTTGTGTAAAAATTTTTCATCTCTGCCGCGTCGTAAGTACCTCTGACTGTAAGATTTCCACGAATATGTAAGTTGTTTTGAAACACAGTTCTTGTTCTTATTGTCTGAAGAGGTTTATTCTTCTTTAACTGGTGAGCTATTAGTTCAGTCAGATTCACGTCATTTATTAGGCCATTGACAATAAGCTCAGATGCATTGATGGAACCTTGTATTTTTTTCTGGCCATAGATCGTTTGGTTCGTGGATTTTGTTAATGCCTCTTCTATAATATTACCCATAACAGTACCAGACACCCTACATAATTGGATATTAATTTTAGTTGGCACGTTGAGTCCAATTAAAATCCGACATCTGTTGAAATTTAACGATAAATTTTTACTAATTACTTTACGTCATTAAACGTAGCAGTGCTAAACGTCTTTCGTCCCTCTATGGCTAAGTATTTTCTCGACTTCGTCAAAGCGTTAGCGGTCCATTTATCAAAATTGTAACCGTTCAAACTCTCCGCGAACAAACGCATGACCGTTTTCTTTCCAATTACAGTGTTCTCTTTCGAGTCGTGTCTTACAACATCTTTCTCAAGATCCAGCTTGTTGATTGTCCGTATCCCATTCAAGTTTCCTACAATATTTTTTATACGTGTCACACATTACAAAATTTCTTTGGAGTCGTTTCTTTCATACAACAATTATCAATAACTTTGCTACTACCTAAGATCTTCAACGTATCAAACATCCACTTCGCCTTCACTTGTTGATCTTTATTCTTTAGCAAAGAATTCTCGAATATGTCGTTGAGATCTGGTACCGAAGACTTCAATCTTGAAACGTTCGAACCCACAATAAAAGGAACTTCGACGTCACCCAAAGACGCAGGATGCGATATTTCCTGCGACTTTGTTTTGCTTAAAACACGCTTCGAAATGTTCCTCCACGTTTCAACATTCAATGTGCTCATCATATTCTGAAAGTGATTGCTGTTTTAATAATGTCAATGTCCTACAATGTTATAACATTCATTGCTCACGTTTAGAGTAACATCTCCATTTATGACTATATTTTTAAAATGCAAATTCTTCCCAGAAAGTGTTGTGGTGTTCGTCGTCAGCCAAATTTCTGATAACAATTTTTCCAGTACAACATCATTCACATTCGTTATTGTCGGTTCGAGCAAAAACCTCGCAGATCCCTTTACGAAGATATCAACTGGAGTCTCGTTCTCTGTGATTTTGAAGGAATATGGTAAATTCATTGCACTGGTTTCTATGTCTCCAGATATTCTTTTTTTACGCAGACTAAGATCTTTCTCTGTGTCGATCAAGTGAAATGGAAGATCAGACGCATATATACGATTCGTACTAAAACCATTACCTGAAACAGGGTACTATTAATAAGTTGAATAGAAAGAAATATATATTTTAAATTGTAACTCACGAAATGTTATGTTCTGCAAAGATTTCATATCATCGAGTCTTATAGCATTATCCAAGAAATCGATCACATCAATGTTATTGATGTAATCTACACGAGCGTTTCGCTCTAATATGACATTTCTTATTACCTTGGGTAATTCTCTGTAAAATGTAACAGGTGATCGAAGAGTTTTCGTTCTCAAGACTTTCGCTTCTATCGAAGTATTGAGAATATTCGGTTCAATCCATGAATTCACAAGATTCTTTAATTCTGTTAGTAATTGAAATGTAAATGATTAAATTACGAATTTCAATATCAAATAAAAGTATAATTAAGAAAGCCGTTTTAACTCACTGGATAAATTCAAATTATTCAGCTGCGTTGTAAACACATCTTTTGCAGTGAAATTACGGTAGTACAATTTTCCAAATAAAACAGGCTTGAAAAGTATTGTCGAACCATCAATGAAATAGTTGTCATTCATGTTCCCAAAAATACGTGGACTGTTTAATTTCTTCGCGGTTATAACATCCGCAGTTAACAGCGAAGTTTTAACTTCCAGCGCAATAACAGAAGTGGCACATAATTTCAAATCGTTCAAGAATGAATTTTGATTCCTTGAAATAAAATGTTAAAGAAAATGTTAGATATGTTTGATTCGCATTGAGTGAGTAAACTTACTTTGAGAACTTCATGTTATCATAAGAGAACTTTGTTATCTCCACATTTTGAAGAAAATGCTTCCTCCCTGATATAACACTGATATTATGAGAATTCGCAGTAACCCATTTTTGAAAACCGTGTAAAGTGACATTGCTCCATTTCTAGGACAAAATTTGATCACTTTTTTTTGTTACTTGTTACATCATAAAAATGTGTTTCTTTTTTTTATACTTGCAACATTTTCCTCACCATCTTTTCATTTGAAAGAATTAAGGACACTGATACATTATCTTGCAAAGATATTGCATTCGACAAAGTACTTTTGATTGACCCTGTCTTACTAGCAATTAAATTTGTAGACATTAAATTATCAATCTTGACATTTTCCAAACTAATATTGTTATTCAAAATCATAGGTTCGTTGATGAATATTGTACGTGATAATCTTGATTTCCATTTTCCTTCTATTTTTCCCCTCACATCAACAAGATTTTTTATTTTTAATTCAGGTGTTTTAATTGAGCCAGTAATCGTTGAAGATGAACCATTTAATGGTAATAAAATTCCTCCTGTCGTTAGATTCAGTTGCTTAACTTTTATTTCTTTTATTACTACATCTTGATTTGTTAAGTACGCAGCAATATTTAATGGCATAGAAACATTCGCTGCCTTTACGGTAACGAAACTATGCTTCCCTGAAATAAAGTGTTCGTAGATTAGTTTTTTACAACTGATAGCTTACTGAGAGCTTCGAAGCAGGAATGTGTTACCAGAAACTTCTTGATCACCGGTTACTTTCAGAGCATTTTCTTGCAGATACTTCAAAGTTATTCCATTAACTGACTCGGAAACCATGACCTCTTCTATCGGAAGACTCAAGACTGGACATCTCCAATTTTTCAGCTTTTTTATACTTAATTCGTCAGGACCCAATGTTCGATTCACCTTCATTGACATTATCAACTTGGGCAAGCGATTCATATGTCCTATAACATTCAATCGGTTAACTTTACACTTTTGTTTGCATTTCACTTGAACCGTCTTCCCGTGCAGCGAAGAAATGGTCACGTTCTTGGGACGCCATTTATTGCTGATAGCAACCTTTTGCGCTTGAAATTTAGAAGTCAACTTTTTGTATTGTTTATACGCATCTTTTAACTGTTGCGAGTTTTGTCCATTTATCTGCAAAAATGACAAGAAGGCAACATTAGATTAACTGGCCTGGCTCGATTCTCCAATCTAAAATACACTAATTATAAGCCTTACGTTATGAGTGCGAAGTTGATCAATGTGACCTCTTAAGATCTTGACAGAGTCCCTTGGCTTTGGAATTTCTTTCATCGCTCTTTGGACTCTGTCCTTGGTATCAATGTTCCACGCTCTTATCTCCTCTTGCAAATTCTTGTAAGACTTTTCTCCTTTCCACAGTGGTTGTTTCAACGTCCAATTGTCATTGGTGCTTCTCATTAGCAACAACTCTTTATCGTACAGCATCACTCGACGAAATCGACTGATCCCAGGTAATTTCGCATCCAATTCTACAAATCTCCAGCCATTGTACTGGTAGGGTACTATGGTGCTGTTACATAGAGTTAAGAGCACAATGGTCCTCCTCGAAATGACCGGTACCATGAATTTGCCGGCTGAAATTTGTTGAAACGGTACAAAGCGATTGCGTATCTCCTTGTAAATGACAGTGGAGAACTCTGTTGATAATGTCAAATAGTGTTCCATGAAGTGGCCCTCTGTTAGTTGAAAGTAAGAGACGTCCCGGCTCGGTGGCAATTTCTGCACGACCACGAATTTGTTGGATCTCAAGGAGTACTTGAAAATCAACGTGGAGGATCCGGTCACTGCCAGATACATAAATCCCTTGCTTTGAAAGGGAATTAACTTCTCTGTACCGACGTCGATGACCTGCATCGAGTCGAAGTAATCGCCAAGCCACGTGTAAATTGATATGTTCGAGCGGGAAACTGTCGCCAAGTGCAACAGGCTCATTCCGTTCCAAATTGCTAGATGACTTATACTGTCCAATTCGAGGCTCTGTACCGGCCGCAAGCTGTACCTGTCTTGAACTTTGCTGAAGCTCAAAATGAGAAATCCATTTTCATGTTGGATTATCAGAAGCGCCTGGTAAGGACAGCTGTTCACCATCATTTGCTGCCCGTTTCGCACGGCATGGAAGTCTACATTGTGAAGAACTCCGTTCTAAAATAAAAATTTTGATTTAAAAAAAAATTCAAGCGCACGTGTTACATTTTGAGAATAACGAGAATGCATTACGTTTATCCGATGGAGGATTACCCCGGAGACGTCCAAAACTACAGCGAACCAAACTGTTTCGAATCCATGTTGGAGAGAGAAGAAAGTTACGTCACGAACGTTCCCGAAATTGAATTTATTAACGTCACGAAATCCATTAAATACACTGATACCTGCGAACATTCAAACTCAACTCGATTGGTGGAATCGATTATCGAAATTGGTGATTCAATTTGATTTGAGTACACTGATGCCGGTGAATATTCTAACTCAAATTTAAATTCGAATTTAACTCGACTCGACAAATCGATTATCGAAATTGGCGATTCAATTCGATTCAAGTATACTGATGCCTGTGAACATTCAAACTCAAATTCAAATTCAAACTCAACTCGATTGGTGGAGTCGATTATCGAAATTGGTGATTCAATTTGATTTGAGTACACTGATGCCGGTGAATATTCTAACTCAAATTTAAATTCGAATTTAACTCGACTCGACAAATCGATTATCGAAATAGGCGATTCAATTAGATTCAAGTATACTGATGCCTGTGAACATTCGAACTCAAAATCAAATTTAAATACAATTTGATTCAACAAATCGATTATCGAAATTCGAGTCAGTTCGATTCGAGTACGCTGATGCCTGCAAACATTCGAATTTAAATTCAAATTCAACTAGACATGACAAATCGAAACTAGCGATTTAATTCGATTCGAGTCTTTTTCCTTTATTTATCGATTCAAATCACAGTGCCGCCTCGCTAACTGGCCATTGTTGTGTACAGGTTAAGCGACCATTGCCATCCCTACCAGCTTGCAAAACGGCCAATACGTGCACAAGTTTTGCGTAAAAGCAGAATTTGTGGCGTAATATTCTCCCTTGGTAATTGACCGTATTTACCGACCGATCGATCCGTGGCCAGTTACCAAGGCGATAATACACGTGTGTTGTTATCTTGCCGAAGCTTCGATAACCTTAACATCGTTCCTCTTTCGTTTTTTTCCCTTCTTCCGTTCCGTTTAAATTAGAAATAATTTTAACGCGCACGTCCATATGTGTTCCAACGAGCAACATGTCAACATACGAGGAAATAAAAGAAAATTTAATAATCCAAATCGGCGAACTGGAAATGTTGCAGTCTATTTATCCAAAAGAGTTGGTAGTCGCGGATCATGGAGTGCTGGTTGATATCAACGAGTTTGTCAAGAACCCGATGCAGGAAATGCCACAGAGGCTGGAATACTCCGTTGAGATACCGCTGAGTAACGTAAGAATACCGAAATTCAATATATCACTCATGCATGTAATATATACACATGCCTGTATGTAACATCTCCTGAAAAAATAGCATTTAATCTTTCGCAGAGGCCTGTAGAGTTATTAATTAGTCTGTCGTCTAATTATCCGAAGGAAAAGCCAGAGATTTACGCGAGGGGCACCTCCTTGGATCGAAGTCAACAATTGTCTTTGAACCAGGCGTTGAGCAGCGTCCTTGAACGTCAGGAGGACAACGAGACTTGCATCCATGCATTAATAACATGGCTGCAAGACAACGGGGAGGAATTTCTCAAAAAGTCCAGCAAATGTTTGAAAAAAAAATCCAAAGAGAGAAACAACAAACCTACGGATTTCGCCAGATACTGGATATACAGCCAACATATATACAGTAAATTTAAAAGAAAAAAGATAGTCGATTTGGCGAAGAATAGCTCCCTCACAGGTTTCTGTCTGGCAGGAAAGCCAGGTGCGATTTGTATAGAAGGTCCCATTGAAGACTGTGACTACTGTTGGCAAGAGGTATGAACCTCCTTAGTTCTTCAAGCTTATTATTCAATTCTTCTTATGATCACAAGAAACCAAGTTCTGCTTTTCAAAAATTTCAGATCAAGTCCATGAAGTGGCAGCATATAACATTGAAACTGATCGAGAAGGAGCAAGATTGTAAAGATATAAAAGCGATACGTAAATTCCAGAAATTCGAGGAAGTATTATTCTCTGTCCAAGGACGACAGAATAACATGGGTCAGATGTTACAATATTTGGCGGAATACAAGTCTCAACATACGTTTCGAGAACTGTTTGATATTGAAGGTAAAATGCCCACTAAATTGACGGATTGATGATTAACAATAGGTAACCGTTGCGACCCTAACGATTTTGTTATAGAAAATAAATATATTTGTAAAAAAAAACGATATGCCTGTTATTTTCCAAACATTTCTAATAAACGCTTACCTTCAACAGGATTCTCGCGTAATTCTCGTTTATGACGGGCAGAGATTGTTCTCGACATGTTTCTGATGTATTCCGCAACTTTCGTGTTAATGTCGGTCAGTGTATCGTCGTTCAAACCTTTCGACGCTAAAAACAAAATTTCGATATGTAGTATACAAACAACACAGTGACTTCGAAATTTTTATCGTTCGAAATTTTATACCATAGTCCGACTTCAATCTCCCGAAGAAATCTGATGTATCTTTGAGTGCAGAGTTTAAAGCACGATTCTTTTTAACGTATTTATCACAGTTCGCAATGTCGATTAATATCAAAATAAGCAACAACTTTGATATCATAATTGCACACTTATTACTTAGGATGCCAGTTCACAATTAGATATAATTCATAGATGGAACGGAAGTATTTACATTTTATGTTTACATTTTTTTTCTTGCTGATGACAGAAGTAATTTAAACTTGAATACATATATGTGAGCGTGACATACAATTTCACATTGTATCTGATCCCTAATGAATATTTCATCAATACTCGTTTCCCTGATATTATTAAATTCTTTTGTACGATCAATATTTATTATTACTATTATTATTTTTTATCTAACTGTTGCATAACGCAGAAATTCATTAGTAAGAAATTGGCCTGCAACGTAAGGAGCAGGTGGTCCAAGAACGTCCTGTGTAGGACTGTAAACTTTAATTTGCCTCATGTGCGTGTCACGTCCATTCTGATGATTGCTTATCACAGCTATTTGTATCATAAATGTTCTGATAGGCCTGTCATTTATATCCTTTATGGGAATGATGACCCAGCCACTTGGTTCATTTAGGTCCATAACTTCTATTTCTTGAAGGTCATTGAAATTAGTGCCTGCTCTAATACTTATCCTAAAAGCAACATTGTATCAACAATTATTTGTTTAACATCTATTGTTTTCAGATGGAACAAAGGATATGTGCAACATTTCTTACCTACTTGGGGTATAACTCTCATCCAACTTGTAGTCTGTATATATACATATGTCGCGAATTGTTGTTTTTCTTTTGAACTGAATGTTTACCAAATGTGGAAGTTGTCCATCGGATTGCCAATAAGTCTCTGTGATGTCGTCGCGCAACTGGTCCACGCCAAAGCCAGGCTTACAACTGGACAAACTCCAGATTGCATGGTTTCCAACTTCTCGTACACGGCCGGCTAATTCTTCTTGTATAGGATCTACTTCTCCTAGAAAAAAAAGAAGCACATACATCTCAGGCAAGATCCAAGTATGCACATAAAGAAAAAGCATTTACCTGTATTACCAGTTTTGTTACTCATTGCTAATTTTTGTGCTTGATCAATTATAAAGATCAACTGACAATTTCTGACAGAAATGACAGAAAGTCCAACTGACTTTTTCTCATCAAGTAGATCAAGAATTATATATTTGTGCTTGTTTATTTAGAAGCCTCTGTCAAAAGCGTGACGTTTGCTCTTTTGCTGCCATCTACGATCAACGCGCGACTCGAGTACATGAAAGAGCATGCACGTGTCGGAGATAACGTCATTGTTATCTTTTTCTTCTTTTTTGTGTGTGTATGATATTATCTCGACAAGCTAAGTTCGTGTAATCGGTAATTAATTGCGTATATCGGCTCAATGCAAAATTTTTTTTCTCTCTTCATGTTTGACAAAGGAAGTTGAGAACCACTGTCACGGTTCGATGGTTCAGTGGTACCCAATTCGCAAGTTCATCAGATGATCCTTCAGGTGTAAACAATTGTGAACGAACGGAACGAAATGGATCAAATAAAGATCCCGAAGGTATCGTGGCAAACACCTGTTTCATTTATAGTAAAGTTGTCTCAAATGAATTTTGTAACCGCGATTGCAAATATCTGTTAATATGACATTCACCAATATGTCTTACCAAGGCATAGATTAGTATCTGTAAAAGAAAATAACAAGAGAGATAATCATCCTTACATAATTATCGTTAGATCAAATATAGAAAATTTCATCCATTTATTTTCAATAAATATGTACTTTCTGAAATATGTATGTGCGTATGTATATCTTAAAAAGTCAGAGTGATATCATTATTGTGTGGAAAACTTTATGATTTCAGGTGGAGAACGTGAGAATTTTAGATAAATATAGTAACAATCACTCAATTGGTACTCTCTATTTAACTGTAACACACCTTATATTTACAGAACGAAGTGGGAAGAAGAAAATTTGGGTATGCCTCTCGTATTAAACATATTGGGATCATTTCTTTCATTTTTTATTTTCAAGTAATACAGATATTCTGACAATGCATTTTGTCATAGGTATTATATACTCACATTGCAAACATAGAAAAGCAGCCACTAACTACAACAGGCTCCCCACTGTGCATTAAATGCAAACACTTTTTTATTGTAACGTTTATTATTCCAAAAGAACGAGATTGCCATGATATATACCTTACCCTATCGAAGTTATCTTGCCCAGGTAAACACTATTTTATACAAAGCATTTGATTGAAAAATGTTTTGTCCTTATACGTCTCATTTTCAGCAAGTTTAGAGGATCTTTATTGTTTTCATTATCAAGTGAACAAAGATACATTGCCACAGCACGCAGGATGGAATTTTTTTAATTTACAAAGTGAATTTCAAAGGCAGGGTGTTCCAAATGAGGAATGGTCTCTGACGTATTTAAATACAAATTATGAGGTAAACGTCTATTAGTTATAACATTTATTACTATTAATATTTTTACATTTAAAATATATTTTTTACAATTTTCAGCTTTGTGATACTTACCCAAAGTATTTGTACGTACCTAGTATATGTACCAATAGTATCTTGATAGGCAGTGCAAAGTTTAGAAGTAGAGGGAGATTACCTGTTTTAACATATTTACATTCCAATAAGGTATACACATTAGTTAAAAAAACATTAAAGAAAAAAGAACTGAAAAAACTACATAAAATATTGTGCAGGCCGCTATTTGCCGATGTAGTCAACCTTTGTCGGGATTTAGCGCACGATGTCCCGAGGACGAGCAAATGATGTATAATATTTTGCGAACAAATCCTAATTCTAAATATATGTACGTTGTAGATACACGACCACGAGTAAGTGATCATAAAACTTAGCAAAACTATGGTTATAAACTGCTTCTCAATGAGCCATTGTAGAATTCAGTTCAATTAAATTTTTGTATACTTATTTAGATCAATGCCTTTGCTAATAGAGCTACAGGAAAAGGATACGAGAACGAGAACTTCTATGATAACATCAAATTTCATTTCTTCGGTATTGAAAACATTCATGTGATGAGAACAAGTTTAAACAAATTAATCGAATGTGAGTATAGTGGCTTCGTTTTGAAATTTTCACGTAAATTGTAAATTTCAAAGCTTTTAATCATTGTCTAGTACAAAGGACGACGTCAATGAGCACATTTTTAAGCGGTTTGGAAAGTAGCGGATGGTTAAAGCATATACGATCTATTTTAGAGACTGCTTGGTTTATTGCTAGAGCAGTTTCGAACGGAGTCAGTGTAGTTGTACATTGTAGCGACGGTTGGGATCGTACTGCTCAAGTATGTTCATTAAGTGCTTTGTTATTGGATCCATTTTACAGAACAATTCAAGGTTTCCAAGTAAGAAAGTTATTGATTTGTATTATAAATTCTTTATTTCTCAAATAAAGGAACTACGTAGTTTTGTTGGACTTTCAGGCACTGATAGAAAAAGACTGGTTATCGTTTGGACATAAGTTCAGTGACCGATGCGGTCATATTAACTGTGATAATAAAGAATTAGCACCAATTTTTACACAGTTTATCGACGCAACGTATCAATTATTGCAGCAATATCCTTATAAGTTTCAGTTTAATGAATTCTTTTTGATAACTCTCCACGATCATGTACATAGCTGCCAACACGGTACTTTTATAGGAAACTCGGAAAAAGAAAGACAAATTCTTAGGTACTATTTTCGTAACAATCTTACTTCTCGTTACTTTATTTACACTTCTTAATTATTTTTAGAGTATCGGAAAGAACGTATTCTCTGTGGGGATACATTGCAAATAATATGCATGAGTATATAAATCCTTTGTACAAAAGCAGTCGTTTTAACGAAGAAACTAGTCCTGTTCTCCAACCTAAATTGGCACCGCAATGCATTATGTAACGTATAATTTTAATGAATTAATATATTCAACTTACTAGTTCGTTCATATAAAATGTAATTTTTTTTAGTTTATGGCGAGGACTGTACTTTAGATTCGAAAACGGTATTCACCCGAGAGAAACGTACGAAGATTACCTTTCGATAATGCATGATCATACTAGTTGCTTAGAAGACCACGTTAAACTCCTTGTAAAGGTACGAATATCATTGAACTATCTTCTTTATTTATTAGACTTTTAATGTTGCGTTTAACTTTGAACAGAGAGTCAACTCTTTGAATTCGGTATTGAATTTAAATAACATCCAAAAGAAGGGAGTGCAAGAGAAACTAAACTTCGATAATAAGTACACGAAGGATCCATTATCTGAAACTATAATAGAAAATACACCGAATCACGAAGAGAAAGCGAAATGTAAAATAAAAATCAGTCAGTTACAAAATGAATTGAAAACAGTTGCCTTGGATTGGAAGTTATTTCGTAACATGGAAGAGTGTGTATGTTCTACTACGTTTGATGCATTTAATAGAAAGGTAAATGTATTGATTTAATTTGAATTTAAGTTTAATTTAAAATCAAAAATATAAATGTATTTTCTTCAGCACCACTGTTGGTCGTGCGGAGAGGTATTATGTACAAGATGCATGGGTGCACATACTGTTCTTGCTGGACATCATTCACAACGTGCAGTGCCTACTTGTAAGTCATGTACACAGAATTCCAGTATTCCTTCTACTAGTCCCTAAATTGATTTTTTTTTTTAAACACTTATTTAAATTTGTAATCTGTACCTAATGTATATTATGTACGGTCATTAGATTATATAATGTTAAGATGGGAGTAATAAGATAATAACATAAGTATAAAAAAAATTTGATCCGATGGAAGCTATTAATAGAGAATTGTACATTTCACATTTGTTTTTTTAATGTGTATTTGAACCAAAGCATGTCGAGTTAAAAAAAGAGAGATATATGAGCGTAAAAAAATATTGCAAATACGAAACAATTTTATTTTAATTTATATTTAACGCAAATTGTATTATAATAGTTATTCTTCTAAGCACAATCATACTTCTTCAAATAAGACTGTTTTTATTTTATATTTCTATTATAAGATATGTAGATAGGCAATGCTTTGTTTTTAAGATCAGAAACAGTCTTTCAAAAATAAAATTAATCAACTTACTTGTACCAATTTAATCTTCTTTTTAATTTTTTAATTTTTCAATTAGAAAAGGAGAACAGTATAATTTAATTGAACTTAAAAAAAAAAGTTTATAGTTTTTACAAAGTAAAGCAGGAATTTACTGAACACAAAGAAAAAAGAAATTTTTCAGATTGTTTGATTATTTTTAGGCAACTTCAAACTTAACAGTTATAAATAATACATGATGTGACACATAAAATTATTTCATTCACATTGTACACTTTATTAAACATAATAGCAAAGGAATGAAATATTATTTAAGAAAAATTGTTACATTGAGTAATATTATAAATGCCTGTGAAAAACAGTAACTGATAATATTAACTACGTGGGTCGTTAAAAAATTATTTGACACGATCCACAAACATTTTAAAAAGAGATGCATGTTCTGCTTTGTTGTACAGACATTGTGAATAAATCTATTCTATTGTTCATCTTCCTTTTTTTTAATATACAATAACAAAAGTTACATTGCTACACAGTATTAAGGCATAAATAGTTACACCGAACATCATTCTTACAAATTTGTTGCTTCTTTTTTTGCTTTTAAATATTTAATATCATTCATACAGGTGAGAAATATGCTTCAATGTGAAAATTACTTTGCTTAAAAAGTATGGCTTAATGGAAAATTACACATGAGAACCAAATACCTAAATTCATCTTTAGATAAAAATCTGGCTCCTAGTAACATTTTATATATAATTAGATATTGAAAAAAATTCAAACTTTCACAATGGCAAGTGTTCAAGTGGAATGTGAGTGTTGCATAAATACCTTAGTATTACGAATTCCTTTAATTTTAATTCATTTTATTCTTTATTTGGTTTTCTTCGTCGTGGTCCATCACCACCTATTGCTGGGTTATCCTAGAAGTAAATTAAATATTAAAATAAACGTTTCAACAAAATTATTTTCATTCTATTGTACAAAAGAAATATTTATTAACATTATCTTCATGTTCTATTATTTCTTCATTTTCTATTATTTCTTCATTTTCTATTATTTCTTCATTTTCTATTATTTCTTCATTTTCATTCAACTTTTCAGTTTCCTCCTCTGCCTCGGCACTAGACAGCGAATTTTCTGTCTCTTCTTGTTTCTGTGCTGTTTGTTCATTTGGTTCTAAAGGTTGTTTATCTTCGTCCTTTAGATCGTATTTGTCCTAAAGAAAATTTATAAATTTTATACTTTACGCATATAGAAAATCTTTACAAAATTACTTTTGAAAAGCCATTAGTTAATTTCAATTAGCGTAATACAAAATTAAAAATTAAAAATACTGTAACAAACACTATTAAAAAAAAAAAAAAAAATAGATTAAGGGTTGATGATTCTTTTGTACCTGGGAGGCAAAGCAGCAACAATATATTACTAGCAATATGGGGAAGCCAGGAGCTATTATATATATACCCCATATCCAGGGATGTTCCGCAGTAAATGTGCCAATTTGACGCCATACACTCCACTATGTAAAATAATCATAACAAAATTACAAGTTATACGATTTATAAACAAATCTCACGTTTATACCTACATAGTTACACAAAATTTTTATAAAATAAGATTCATAAGAATCAATGAATATCTGCATTTTTCTTTGAAGTTTTTTATGCTACTACTTTATACAATTTGCAGCTGCGAAATATATGCAATTTTTACGCTATATATGTAAAAGATCTATACGAATACATCACGCTATGAAAGATTTAGCCATTATACTATTATACTTTGGTACCAATATTACGGATATGAGCGACTTGTACGTTCGATATCACAAAAAGATATACCTCGCGAACTCGCTTCAATAGATACCAAATGTATAATACAACTGGTACTGCACAATATATGAAATACAACGCCCACCAGCCTGGTTTATAATTCGTTGCTTTTAATATGCGACCCCATAAAGTTACCTGCATAATATAGTGGATCGTACATATCGTACATTTCATTAAAATTATATCTCTGGTAAGTTTAATTTGAATGTTTGAAATTAATCCTTTGTAAATTTATTTTGAATGAGTATTGATCTTTGGATGAAGAAGAGAAATTACTCACACTCTCCTCCGCAATTCGAGCTCGGCGTACTTCGAACGTATCTTTCGCCCATTTCCTTACTACTTCTTCATTGTCAGCAACAAGAATATTATCAAAAAGAATGTCCGTGGACATTGACCAAAGTTCAAAACCCACAGCAAACTAAAAATCCAAATATGAAATATAATTCCACAAATACGTGTAAAGTTGTCTAGAAAAATATTATACAATTTATATAAACGTACAATAGGCATCATCCGGAATGGATGTTCATCGTTAAAGTAATTAGGATTATGTATTAATTTTGGTTTCCATTTCCCTTTGTAATTGGGATTATTAATCATGGGTGGTGTCCATTTCCCCTTGTATCGAGGATTCTTTTTCATTTTTTGTTTGTATGGTCCACATCCAGGTGCGTCGGCACACTTTGGATTTGGGATTTCTGGAGGTTCCCAGTCTCCGTCCATTTCAACGTCCCAATCCTCGGGTTTTACAGAGTCAGGATTGGGAATCATAGGCAGTTCGTCTTCGAGCCACCCTTCAGGCATAATGTCGTCTTCGTCAACGATTTGAGCTGGCGCATCTTCATCCCAATCATCTGGCTTAACAGCCGATAGATCAGGAATCTTTTCTTTATCATCCCAGTCCTCTGGTTGAACATCAGTAGGATCTTCTATCTCCAAAGGTGGATTAACCGGTGGAGTGAAGTCGTCCAATAGAGATCCAGAATTCACTATCTTATTGTCGATCTTGATCTCAAAGCTATTGTTTGGCCGGATAATCAGAGTATATAGATGAGGCTGCTTATCTTTGAAGAAATCTTCCAAACGCTCTTTAGGTTTCTTACAGTGTTTCTCTTCTATAGAATCATTTAGAGGGTTTTTGTGTCGAAAGATAAAATGCAACTGCGTTAGAGAAAAAAACAATTAATTAATCTGGAATAGTTTTCTAAAAACAAAATTGTTTTGTTTGTATGTATACCTTATGATCGTTTCCACATTTATCAGGTCCAAACATTATAGTGTAAGGACTTTTATTGTGAAACTTCTTTAAATCTTGATGCTCTAGGTCCAGAGTAAGCAGCTTTAAATAAGCCCCGCCACATTCTTGGCTTTCTTGGAAATTCACTTCATATTGTACAATTAACGGATTATCGTTAAAATAAAATGGCTTAGATAACATAGTCGACAAAGCAGCATGTCTAGCTTTACTCTTAAGAACTAATCCCAAGTCTCCCTCTTGAGCATGTTTCTTGGGTTTTTCTATAGACCAAATTCCTATAGAAACAATGTACATTATAGTCTTATATCATAAAAATCTAATTGTATCATCAGTTTACTAAAAACCTAAACAAATTTTTTCTTTCAAAATCTGTTCTTCAAATTTCAAATTATAAATTGTTTCTTTATTCTGGCAGTACTTCTTACATCAGTACATACATGTAACATTATTGTCCATTTAGTTTTTTACTAGACTGTTCTTCATCTTAGAGAATGGTTTATTTTTAAATTCAAATCCATTCAATTATGTATAGGAAGAACATCAAGATTAAAATCAATAAAGGGAGATTTCTGTGCTTAAAAACGGAAAATTATTAAAATAATATTAGGCTAATTCCCTAGAATATTAGGCTAATAATATTAGGCTAATTCTCTAGATTCATTCTCTAGAATATATTCTTTTTGTCAAAATTTGCATGTTTAATATATGTTTACAAATAATTTAAGCTCTGTCTGAGAAACTGTTTTGAGTTATATCACTTCTAAAATACATGCGGGAGCTGATCATTTTTTAGAGAACTGTGCAAACTGATGATATTTACTAGAGCAAGAGACAAGAAATTAACCATCGTATTTCGCTATGTCTTCATCGACGGAGTCTTTCTTTGCCTCTGAGAGAACCCAAGTCCTTTTGAATTTCTCCTTGTCGTCGAACGTCTCGACCAAATACACGAAACCCGAGATTTCCGGTGTCTTGTAAACTACCTTCGTTGGTGTTGTATCCTGAACATTCCTATCATCATTCTCATTAGCCTTGATAAAGCTGAATAGTAGGCACAGATAAATTGTTAAGTTTGCTAGAAGCTTGGCCATCTCATATTCCTAAAAAATAAAAAAAAAGAAATAGTTACAAAGTTCAGTATCAAAATAGAAAAAATTAGGCGCGGAGGCAGACAAGGAAGAGGATTCACAGTCCTTACCGAATTCAGTCGACGTGCATTGACTCCTCGGCGTGAACGACACGAGAGAGAGAGATCACCGTCGCACCGTGGATGATTCAATTAAACAATAATGGTAATTCAATTACTCGGCGGAGGTTTGTCCGCGTTCCAAAATGCGGCAACAATGCCGGAAAAACGGCGTGTCTCGTCTAATTGAATTAATTGAATTATCGAATGAAATCCCGCGGCTGTGGCAGCCGATCACGACGACGATGTAACCGAGAGGTGACCCGATTTAGATGCGTCTAACGATGTCGGGCCCGTTTCAGCTTCCTGCGGCTCTCCGTTTCACCTGAGAAGGAAAAATTGATCGACCTTCAAGAGAACATTTCCAACTCATGCATTCTCTGACGATCCGTTCAACATACCGATCCCCTTGAACATCGCCCGGTGAGACCCGTCGTCGCAGTGATTCCCAATACAAGAACGTTGAATTCTCCAAAAACTAGACACCGCCTAATTCGTATTTCGCATTCACCTCAAGAATCTTCGCATTCTCTCAAGAAAAATTCGTAAGTATGGTTCAGTTTGATACCAACAGGATTGTTAAATGCGGCTTTCGATAAACTGCGCGAGGAAAGAAAGAAAAAAAAAAGAACTAACAAAACATGGTTACATTTTTGTTTCTGATGTCGAATGTCGCCAATTGAGAATCATACTCTTACTCTGATAGTGTGAAGTTACGTCGAATCGAAACTTTTGTACCTTCCGCAATCTTTCGAAAGATATTTATCGCTTTATTTATTTATCCGCTCTGAAAGCGGGATGTAATTTTCAACATTTATTCGTATATTATATGCTGTTTGTGGAAACGCAGCGTGAAGCGCGCGAAATTTGAAAAGAACATTCGATCACCTATTTTTTCGTAATTTATGAATTCTGTGTTGAAAATGATCGAATGACGGAGTCGAAAGATAATTTTATATAGATCAAGAAATTAAAAATCAACAAAATACGGGATAAAGTTTTTCCACACGGCGTTTAGCTTTCAGTGAAACACAAACAACCAATCAGAGGGCCCTCAGTTCACGTGCGTAAAGTAAAGGTGAAAAATTGCAGAAGAAAATTTTTCCGCTTAAAATCCCGTTTTCAAGGAATTGGAGTTTTTTTTTTAATTAAAAGCGTATAAACCTCGAAATTTAATTTGGAAACAAAACCCTGTGAAAAAATTCCCGATATTTGCTTCTTTTTTTTTTTATAATCAAATTCAGACGAATTTTCAAACACGATGATCTCGAAAACGAAATGCTTTTACTAATTAATGGTTTAATAATTTTTACATTTCATACAAATTACAAAGTATAATAATTTGTGTATCTTAGGCTGATGAAAATTAAATTTACGCTTCTACGATTATTTTTAAGTTACAACTGCATCAATGTATACTGAATAAATATTTATGTAAAAAGGAAATAATTGTCTATTATATAGTTGCTTCTTTTGTTATCGACAAGCTATGAATTTTTGTACATTCAAAGCAAATTTGAAGACGCAAAAATGCAGATGCACACGATGTGGTAAAAATATATAAAATATACCACTAAAGAATAGACATAATGTTCGAGATAATATTCGTGCAATAGAATTTTGCTCTCCTCAGCGCATCTTTACATTTTGTTGTATAAAATTTTATTTCCTTGTCATTTGTATCTTTTTTTATACCCTGTATCTTTTTTTTTTTTTTT